AAAAAAAGCAAATAAAAAATTTATTTTTATTTATTTATTTAGAACCAGGGTTTCACTTTGTCACCCAAGCTGGAGTGCAGTGGCATGATCATGGCTCCCCACAGTCTCAGCCTCCTGGTGTCAGACCATCCTTTTACCTAAGCCTCCAAAGTAGTTGTGACTACAGGTGTGTACCACCATGCCTGACTCATTTTTTATTGTGTAGAGACAGGGTCTTGTTATGTTGCCCAGGGTGGTCTTGAACTCCTGGGCTCGAGCAGTTCTCTCGTCTTGGCCTCTCAAAGTGTTGGGATTACAGGCATGAGCCACCATGCCTGGCTTATTTTTTTTTATTTTTTATTTCAGTAGCTTTAGGGGTACAAATGTTTTTTGGTTACATAAATGTATAATGGTGAAGATGTCTGGGCTTTAAGTGTAATTGTCACGCCCATTAGTGCACCCTGTACCTGATGGATGATTTTTCATCCCTCTCCCCCTTACCATCCTCCCCTTTCTGAGTCTTCAGTGACCATTATATGAGGGCCTTTGCAGACCCTTAGCTTAGGTCTCACTTACAAGTGATGTGAACACATGGTGTTGGTTCTCCATTCCTACATTACTTCACTTAGGATAACTGTCTCCAGTTCCAGATCCAAGTTGCTGCAAAAGACATTATTCCATTCCTTTTTATGACTGAATAATATTCCCTGGTGTGTGTGTGTGTGTGTGTGTGTGTGTGTGTGTGTGTGTGTGTGTACATAAATATATATGTATTTTACATTTTCATTATCCACTGACCAGTTGATGGGCATTTAGAGTGACTCCACATTTTTGCAATTGCAAATTGCCCTGCAATGAACATGTGAGTGCAGGTGTCTTTTCTGTATAACGACCCCTTTTCCTTTGGATAGATGCTAAGTAGTGGCATTGCTGGATCGAATGGCAGATCTACTTTTAGTTCTTTGAGAACTCTCCATACTGATTTTTCTAGAGGATTTACTAATTTACATTGTCACCAAGAGTATATAAGTGCTCCCTTTTCACCACATCCATGTCAACATCTATTGTTTTTTGATTTTTTAATAATGCCCATTCTGACTGGTATAAGGTGATGTCTCATTGTGGTTTTAATTTGCAAATAAATGAATTGAATTCATGTTCATTAAGCTAGAGAAGGACTTGCTTTTTCTAGAGGGTATCCAGGTTCTTGAAAGTGAGGAGGTTTATATAGTAATTATGATATGAAAAATATTTGTATTTTGTTTATAAGTAAGGAAACAGAAAGGGCTTAATTTTTCTTTTTATACTGACAGTTACTTTTCATGCTTTTCCCTCATTTTTTCCATCCTTCAGCAACCAGACTTGAAAGATTCTTCGGATTCTTCCACACTGCCTGAATTGGAAGAATTCTACATCTCTCTTATCCAGTCACAGCAGTCAGCAAAAGGGAGCCAGTTTGAACCTATTCATGCTCAGCCACAGCATATTCAGCTATCCACAGGAGTACCCATTTCAACTCCCACAGTGGTTGACTCCCCAGAAAAATATTCTGGTTCTGGTAGGTTTATGTATATGTATGCATCCTCACAGTTGACAAATATGATGGTACTTAAAAGACTGTTAGCCGGGCTTGGTGGCTCAGCCTGTAATTCCGCGCCTTTGGGAGGCTGAGGTGAGTG